ATTTCATGATCTAATGGCTAACTAACTTGACTAATAGACTGTTTCCTGTAGAACTCGTGGCTGACCATCCGTAGTGACAAGATGATCATGCATAATAAGGTAGCATGTGCTCGGCTGCAAACGTCCTCCACTCTATTCCTTAACAGGCCACATCGACTGCAAGGTCGTCGCCCATTCCAAAAAACCATCTCTCGCTCATGGTCGTCAGGCTTAAACTGCCCTACAGCTTTTGGAACAACGTTTTCCAGAAAACGCCTTTTTACTCCAACCTTGGGTTAATTAAATCCTCTTCAGACAACTCTTTACATACTTGTTTATAGTTACAAGATGAACCATACAAAAAAGTCCAAGTCTCCGCGCTCTGCTGAAAACCACAGGCCAGAAGATAGAATCAGCATTGGTGCCGGCGTGCCTTCCGAAACAGCGACTGATTCAGAATTTCTCGATCTCCCCCAACCTCTTCCTCCGGGTTTCCTTAATCTGGGCAATACCTGTTATATTAACACCACTCTACAATGTCTCTTCACCGTACACCCCCTACTTCAGTGGCTCCTCAAACCTAACACTTCCTCGACGCTTGATCAACGCCTGACTAACTCTCTCTCCAAACTGGTGGTGGCCACCTTTCGACGTAAATTTAAGACTGAACTGCAAGAATTTCGTGATCTCGTTGGAATTTTGCATTCGGTGAGCTGCATTTTTGGGTCTGCTGCATTTATTTAATGACCTGAGGTTGATGCGCCCATTTCGCATTCCACATTCTGCTTATCCTAGTTCACAGGCCTCCTTTGTTCACCAGGTACACACATGCGTCTTAGAAGGAACTGTCATCTCGGGCGATAACAAGAAATGCTCCTCCCCATTTACAATTGAATGCGGCAGCAAGTGTTCTGAGTGTCGGTTAGACTACTCCTGCACAGCGGGAATCAGAAATCTTACGCGCATAATGTGAGATTAGCAGACAGACGAGTCTTGTCATATGCGAACAAACTGCAGCTCTTTCTTGGTACGAAAGTAAGATGATTATCCGCCTAGGAAAGGTCCTGTGGGTGACTTGTCTGACAATCTGGGGAAAGTGTGCTCTGTCCACGTATGAGGAGCGATATGAACCAATACACGAAGGGATTTAGTCTTTATTCGTCAAAATGTTAGCGCCAAACGACAGGGAAGCCTCTTTTTCCCGAGC